TCTGGGATACACATTCTCATGATTATAATTTTGGACAACAGAAAATGAGGCTAAAGATAGATTAAGATAACTGTTGAATTACATCAACAGTTAGAGGGCAGGTCCTAGAGCTCTGTGTCCAGCTGTCTTTTTAATGTCGATTCTCCTTCACCAGGGAAAAATAGCAGATTATCAAAAATTGTAAAAATGTCACTCAGAATAACCTGATTTTTTTTTTTTTTTTTACTTATCAGGAAGCCAGATAAAGAGCTAGGAGGCCAAGAAAACAAATACAATGTGTGTGTAGACTGGAACAGTAGAATGAATCCATTCTTTTAATTTGGGTGAAGTCCCAACTGTGGTCTCCACAGAACTTGGTGTTTTTACTTACTTATTTCCAGAAATAGATTCATCTCTTCAACTCAGAGATGGACAGAAGTGTACTCACCTCTGTAGGTCTGGAATTCTCTCAGAAAGAAAAAAAAAAGTCTATGTCCTGGGGCATTCTATAGGAATGGAATTATTTACCACTAGAAAAAGTGGATCTTTATTTATAAATCGTATTAGGAAAACTAATGGAGAAGGGTAATCATCTTTTTTGTTGTTTGTTTATTTTTCTGAGAGGTTTTCTCTGTGTAGCCTTGGCTGTCCTGGACTCCCTCTGTAGACCAGGCTGGCCTTGAACTCACAGAGCTCTGCCTGCCTCTGCCTCCTGGGTGCTGGGGTCACAGGCGTGTGTCACGGTGCCCAGTGCTCACCATCTTTTGAATGAGTTACAGAGTTCTTTGTTGCCAGCTTTGTGGACCCAGGTTACCTGGGAGTGAGAACACAGCAGTGTAGCAATTCAATCAGCTTGTGGCTTGTAGCAAATCATATGGAGCAGAGGGCACAGCTCTGCTCCCTGGGTATGAGGAAGGTACATGGTTTGGAGTGGTTTAAGTCACCATCTCCTTTTGGGCTTACAGGGTGGTGGCATACTCATTCATATTCACTTTAACATTTGTAAGAGCTGACTGATCCCAGTATGTCTACAAGGCATCGTCATTGGATTGGACATTCAGAATAACCTAAGAGCAGTAGTTCTTACCCTGGAATATTCTAGAATCGCTTACCTGCAAGTCCATACCAATGAAGTCAGACTCTGGCAGCATGAGTCGGTATATGTACTTTTGTGAAGGACCTGAGGTGACTCTAATGGGCAGTGTGGGTGGAATATGTCTGTGGTCGTCTGAATGAAAATGGCCCCAGAGGCTCATAAGGCCTGGCACCATTAGGAGGTGTGGTCTTGTTGGAGGAAGTGTGACACTGTGGGTGGGCTTTGCTGTCTCAGATGCTCAAGCCAAGCTCTGTGTCTCACTCTTTCTTCCTGCTTCTTGCCAGTTCAGAGTAGCTACCTCTCCAGCACCATGTCTGCCTGCATGCCACCATGCTTCCTGCCAAAATGATAATGGACTAACCTTCTGAATGGAAAGCCAGCCCCAGTTAAATATTTATTAAGAGTTGCTGTGGCCATAGTGTCCCCTAATGGCAGTAACACCTTAAGATAATGTCGTATCTACTGATAACTTGTTGGAAACTGGAGGACAGTGAATCCCATGAATAGGGCCTCGTTGTCTCGATGGTCTCACTGACATCATTTCCCCCATCTAACCATCCCTTGTGTCAGCTTCACACTTGTATTCCTGTGAATAATCCATTAATTCCTGAAATTAAATGTTCACTATGATGATCTGCTAGTGTGTAGGCTTTCCAGTGATTTAATTATCTAATCACTGAAGCAGGCTGCCAGACACAAAAGGGTTCGTTCAGTTTTACTATTTTATAACACAGCTCAAAGAACATTTGAATTTCTAATTCAAATGTTGTTCTTTTGAGACTCTTCTGGAGAGTTCTATATGTCTCTAATGATCGCTCTATTAGTGGACTCATAATCACTCAGGGACTGCATTTCATATTAGGTGTAGGATAATCCAGGTGCTGATGGAGAATTGGTGCTGCCACAGCTTAATTGTTCTCAATTGTTCTTATATTAAATAGACTCCTCTGGCTGAAAAGACAGAAGTTTGTGGAGGAGGGAAGCCTGAGACACAGAGACTACAAAGATTGGAGTGGAGAGGGGAGAACGATAGCAGCCCTGTGATCATAGCACTCAGGAAGACAGAGGCCCGTGAATCTCTGTGAGTTCTATAAAAGCGAGTCCATGACAGCCAAGGCTACACAGAGAAACCCTGTCTCAAAAAACAAACAAACAAACAACCCAAAGTACTTATCTCTCCCTTGTGTCTACCCTGGAAACCACTAACATTTTTTCTCTCTCTCGCTCTCTCCCCTTCCACTCTCCCTCCCTCCCTCCCTCCCTTCCTCCCTCCCTCCCTTTTTTTGTTTTTTAGAGACAAGGTTTCTCTGTGTAGCCTTGGCTGTCCTGGACTTGTTTAGTAGACCAGGCTGGCCTCAAACTCACAGAGATCCTCCTGTCTCTGCCTCCTAAGTGCCGGGATTACAGGCACAGCACATTGCTCATTGCTATCTACTCCCAGAGAGAGAGCCAATGAAATGGAGCAGTTCTACAGGGATAAAGAAACCCATAGAGCTAGGCTAGGACTGCTAACGTCGGCCAAGAACTTCCTCATTAAGAAAGTGACAGTTTTACACTGTGCTAGCATAGGTTCAAGGGTTGATAGAGCGCAGGTGGCAGGAGCTCTTTCCCAACCCTACCAGAACCAAATAATGCCATGCACCACCAAGGACCTGCCGTGGCTGGCAACATCTACCCGCAGTAACAAGTGTGTCTAAATGCTTATGAAATAGCCAACACGGCTGTTCTGCTCATGCTAAAGCCATGCCATTCATGTCTCCAAGCCGACAGCTGCTCCCTTTGGAGCAGGAGTTAGGGCCTACCATAGAAATGACAGATTCAGTTTGTAGGGGTAGAGTCCAACAATTTCCCAGAAGGTAGTGCAGTGTGAGGAGGGGCAGACTACAGAGAAACCAGAAAAGATGGGGGAGAGGGGTGACAGGTGGTGTCTGACCTAAAGACCTGTCCTTTGACCTTGGGAGCATCAACCAATTAAGTTTTAATTACATTCTAAGAGTTGAAAATGGGGCTGTTTAACATCAAACCTGTATTTCCATATTTTCTGGGGATACTGAGAACATCTAGAAACATGGAGTCTAAGCCTACAGGGGAAGAGTTGCTGGAATTGAGTGGCAACTAATTGCTTTTTCAGGGGTCTGCTTTTATTGGCCTTGCTTTTTTTGTCCGTTTACCTAGTAATCCGAGGACTGAAGACATTCTTTGCCATTTTAACTACCGACCCAGATGCGTCATTTCATTGCAAAATCAATTCATTTCATTCTCATTCTCTCTCTCTCCTTTCTCATCCCTTTTCTTTCTTTGCAGAGAGATGGCTCAGTAAGAGTAAGAGTATGTGCTGTACAAGCATAAGGATGTGAATCTGAATTTCTAGCACCTACATAAAAGCAGGGCATGGCTGCACAGGCCTATGACTGGAGGACAGGAACAGCAAGCTTCTGGTTCAAAGTGATAAGGTGAAGAGTAATAGAGAAAAAACCTACGGTCCTCTTCTGGTCTCTGCAGGTACAGGTTCGTGGCTACACACCTGCAGACTCACATGCATCCACAACACATACGTATACCTCCACACCTCCCCACACACATATAAAATGAAAGAGAAATTTGCAAGGTCAAGAGAAGTCCATCCAAGATGGACTTTCACAGACGCCATGATTCAGAGGTGACATAAATAAATATGTACCAAATGCCCCCGGTGTGGACAGAGAGAGAGAGAGTGGATGGCTGGAGGGTGTCTGAGCATGAAGCAGTGGAGGCTGTTTTCTCAACCCTCACCATGTATTCCAGGGCCTGAGGAGGTTTTCCAAACCAGCTGTCCTTATTTCACATTTTAATTTTTTTTCCAGAGGATGTGCTTTTGAGACAGGATCTCATTATGCAGTATAGGCTGGACTTGAACTCATGATCTTCCTGCCTCAGCCTCCCAGGGCTGGATTTAGAGACTTGAGTATGACTCTGTGCCTAGATCTAGCTGTTCTCCCCTCTGCCCCTTTCCACATCTAGACAGTGGTGGTGGGAAAGCACATTTTTAGCTTTTGTTAGGTGGTGAAACCTGTTGGATTTATGGCACTGGGATGCAGAAAGAACTATGGTTCAAAGTCCTTCCCTGCCTGTACTTCACCACTTACGTATCGCTTCCACTTGCTACAGAGGATCTCCGCCCATGTGGCTGCCCAGGCTCCTGGGTGTGTTCCACGCTTAACAATGTTTGTATTATGAGCTTCTTAAAGGCCACACTAGGACTATGCACTCAGTGCCCCAACTCCTGCAGCGAGGCCAAGGCTGCATCCAAGGCAAGCATGTGACCTCATGCAATGCTGGGCTTCCTGCTCCTTAGAACTCAAGCCAGCAGATGGATATCCTATTTTTTTTTCAGTTTGACAGTGTTTGCTGACCAAGATCTGGGACACAAAGGGTTGTTTTTGCCTTCTCTTTGATTCCCTATAGCTCACATATTTCTCAATAATGAAAAGGATAAAGGAAACCTGGACCACATTACTCAAATAAAATACAGATTTTTTTTCTTAACAAATCATCCTCATTAGCCCACCCTAATGAGTTCATCTTCTATGCTAAACTCATAGTTATAATGACATCATACTTCCTTAAGGAAGAGGGGAGCTTTTTTCTGAGGTGGAGTATTGGCCTCCACCACACTGAGAACTGGTGGCCCTGGCTGGCAGGAAGCCCATACTTTTTGTTAACAGATATTGTCATACACTGGCTTTAGTTGTGGTGGATGGTTTTAGACCATGCTTACAGATAAACAAGGAAGCTGTGCCATTATGATCATATGTGGGACCTTCAATTGGCTCCTATACAAGGTACAGTAAAGGAACTAGGGAAGTTTCAGCAGGGCTGAAGATATGGGGGACAGAGAAATCAGACCTAGAGCCACTAAGATAGAGGACACTTCCGTGAGAAGTACCTGGAGCTGCCTCATTTGCTGGAGCTGGAGCCTGAGTTCAGCCACATTCCGCCTCATGTCAAGCAGGCTCGTGTGGATGGACGAGGTACCGGCAGGCAGGGGTTGGCTGGGAGGCAGTGGGGACCCCAAAGTGCCCAGACTCTTCCCAGTAGAAACATGGGCTGTTCCTATAAGGAAAAAAACAAAACCCAAAATATAGCAGAGGCCTTAGAATGCAGATAGCACCTGAACCGTGCAGCCTGTCTTCACACAGATGACTGAAAATTATGAAAAACACCATGGAAACAGTATCACGAAGGAATGCAGTCGGTAGCCATCATGTTCTAGAAGCTTCACTGCCATTGGATGGCAGAGCGGTACTTTCAGCAATGCCCTGCCAAGGAGGCCAAATGTCTATGCTGCCACCAGTCCCTTGAACCCATCTGTTTCCTCCTCCCTCTCTCCAACCCGCACGTGACTCCTCCACCTTTCTTTTTCTCTTTCTTTAAACACGCAGGGCTTTATAGATATAAGTTGAAAAGTATATAGAAGAAAGTATCAACAGCAATTCTGACTGCTGGTATTCCAACAATCTTCTTGCTAAGTTTTAGATCTTTTAAATCTATATAGTAGATATCATTCTGGAGTAGGGGTGAATTTAATTTCTGGGCCCTCAGAGAGCATGCTGTGTGACCATCCCTGCTGACACACAGATATGGGACAAGTTGGGCACAGAGATGGGAAACTAATCAAAAGAGGGTACCCTTGGCTAAATCCTCACAGGTTTCTAAAATCAAAAGAACTAAGATTTCTGAACATTATCACTCTTTGTAAGAAAACATGGCTTTACTTAAAAACTCTTTAGGAAAGAAATTAAAACAAAAAGGCACTGGAAAGAAACTTCCAGGCTGGAGATGAGCATGGTGGGGGCACTCTCTGCAGCCTGGGTTCTGCCTGTAGCCCTGAAGGGCCTGCGCTAGAAAGGAAAAAGCACCTGGGTTGTCCTCCAGCTGCCAGCCTCTGTCTGCAGACCTTACACAAGTGTCACACATTTTGTGAGGTCCACACTGTGGAGGGGCCTGAGGATGGCTTACAGGGCCAGCAGGGTTTAAAGCGTGTGTGCTAGATGGTTTGGCCTTTTAAGGACAGTGCAGGGCTATGGAACAGGCCCCCAGGGTAAATGTGGAATCTGTCTCTCTCACACAAACATACATACACACACACACACACACACACACACACAGATAGATACATGAGCAAGAGACAGATATACACATACATTCACAAACACACATACAAAACATAGACAAACACAAAAACACACACACACAAGATATGAGCAAGAGACACATATGAGCAAGAGACAGACAGATACACAAACACACACAAAGACAGAGAGACACAGACAGATATACACACACCTACAAAAATAGACAGACACTTACACACACACACACACACACACACACACACACACACACACACACGCGCGCGCGCGCAGTTCTCTCTCCTGGGAGCTTGGTGACAGCAGGCTAGCCTTGCAGGACAGAGCCTTGCCATTGGTTTGCATAGCCTGTAGTGGTTACTAGTGGGGAGCCTGTCCTGTTGTGGCTCAGCAACCAGGATGTAGTACTGGTGGCACCTCAAGTTCTTCACCTTAGGGTGACTGTCCAAGGACAGTTGCTCTACCGCCTCCACAGAATGCCAGAAGGTTGGTACTCCTGGCTATTCTTATGAACCTTAGTGGTCATTCAGACCATTACCAGTCAAGACTTGAGAAACTTGGACATCTCCCTTTTCCTTACTCGCAAATCAAGTCACCCCAGAAAAGTGAGTAGCTGCCATCCGTGCAGCTGTTGAAAAGACTGTTTTACACTGCGTGTGCACAAAGGAAAAGAACACCCAGTGGCGCCTCTTGATATAGCAGTGTGGCATAATTACTTAGTGTCTTCCGAGGTCAGGTACTCTGACAGGGAACAACTATCAGGTCCAAGTTGTCGCTTTTGAGTCAGCCAATATCTCCTTGTCTGTCCTACAGCAGCATGTGTGGGCACTCACGACATTACCCCATCTATCACCAGGTAGTAAGTGGAACAACCAAGGTCTTGCTCCGGCCTAGTTGTCCTGCCAGCTCCACCTTGCGATCCTTGCATGTTCCAGGGGTACCAGCTTATATCACCAATTTCTATAATTTAAATTGTGTGTGTGTCGCAAGTGTGTGCATGCACACACACATGTCGGCTTTCTCCTTCCAACTTTCAGTAGGTTCTGAGATCAAACTTGGGTATCCCGCTAGGTACAAGCACCTTTACCTGCTGCGCCAGCTCTTAGAGAAAGCAGACCTCAGTCTGCACATTTCTGTTACAGCTGCATGCTGATAACAGGCTTCAAGAAACGTTTTCAAAATCAATTTCTTTATGAGATCTACATTCATTTAAAAATATACCTTTATCAATAACCTCTGGTACCACTGCATGTGGTTTTCCATCCTCCGAATTCACTGTCATGTCTGCTCACAAAGTGCCCAGTGATATGGGGATCACCACACTCTCCAGGGACCGTGACTTCATGCGGCATGTTTGGTCTGTGTTGTCTGCCAGGCATTTCTTTCGTTTCCTGTCCCACTGAGCTGCTTTCCCCTTGCCTTCTTTCCTCTCTCTGCTCTTGCTTTTGGGGCAAGCCCATCCTCTTCTACCACCTGCCTAGTGCTCCCAGTGCCCCCCCCCCCCCAGGCTTACATTTATCTTTGGAGCCTCAAACCTCAAGTCACTACCAGCCTTTCCAACAAGCACTCACCTCCCCAAGCTCTTTTCTGTCTCTCTCCATTTGATTTTAGCCAAGGACACTACTATCCACTTCATTATTGAGACCAGAACCTGGAAGCCACTCTCATTATCCATTTTTCCACATATGATCTTGAGCTAGTAAGTAACTTAACCATGTTCTCTGTTTATCTTGACTGGGTACTGGTGCTACCTCGTGGGCTAAGGAGGTCAGCACCTATAACTGCTCAGCTCAACGGCTGACAAAGAGTGAGCTTCACTGCCTTTGGCTGCATTACTTTTCTGAGCAGAATGTTAGAAAGGACCATCTATCTCCATCTAGAGTCTCAGCAATAACAGATAGCAAGGATCTACAGTAAAGGCCCTGAAATGCAGACTTAGGATGGAGAAGATCTAGTTGCTAGGGACTCCAAGCAGGTCCCCACTCACGCTGGAGCCACAAGACTTGGAGTTGGTATGCCATACCCACAGATGGGTTGTCAAACTCATCTTGCCAAGTTTCTTGCCAAGCCTAGTAATAAGAGACAACATACAGTTTGTACCCACAATCTCATTCTTTTCTGTGTACTGAGTCTACTCTAAGTAATTGATCTTTGTTACTTGCATCTTAAAGTCACCACCAATCATCAACAATCATCATCATCATCATCATCATCATCATCATCATCATCATCATCATCACACTGCTTTTCTTATGGCTTACTACCTTGGATTATGGAAGAATTAATGTATCTTGTGCACCGTACAGGCTCCTATGGTAACTAAATCCCTGTAGGCAATATCTAGCCTTGCTACATTCATTAGAAGGAGAAAGATCAAAATGGGGAGAGACACAGGAGTGAAAACCGATCTCATTGCCAATGGCATTGCCAATCTCCTAGGCTTTTCAGAAACCGTGTGTCACTACCACCATCTGTCCCCTGGAATCACTGATCACAAACTTGGAAGCACAGCCAAAGAAACTACACTTGCTTCTTCTGCCTTGCTCAATAAGGGTGTTTTCACAATTTCAAAGTGAAGAAATTAAACAACTTGTGTATCTTTCAAGGGACTGGTATATCATAACATGAGAGGGTGGGTCACATGTGTGTGGCTGTGAGTTGCTTCCTTATCTGGAACAATGAAATAAAAATGATACCTACCCACTGTGGATAGATATTAATGGGTCAATGCATGAACAGTGCCAGGCACACATGTTTCCTTATTGCTACTCTATAGAAAGGAAGAAAGAGTCAAAGCTTACAAATTGCATGTGCCCATTGATCAAATGATATACAGGACACTTCTCTTTCCCAGGGTGTATTTTAGAGGTATGGAAGGCTTTAGTGCTTAGTAGTTTCATCTTATCCGCTTAGGATCATCATAAATAAGAAAATGAGCAAACAATTATCCCAAAGCAAACTGGCAATTGCTCTGAAGATAAGTTTGGTAATTCCAATGAAGCAACCGTCTGGGTTCTGCTTAGGCCACGGATTGATTTCTAAGTTGAATGCTGGAGAAACATCCCTTATAACTGAGTGCTAAGCTTTGCTCAGCCTGAGTGGAGCCAATGGGTGGGGTAAGGAGTTAAGCCTATGTTTTAATCCTGTCCACATTCCTGTGCTGCAGGAAATTAGGAGATGTGGCTTTCCCCAAATTAAGCATTTCATACAACTGGCTCTTTGCTTCTGCAGAGCCTCAGCATGTAAGCACACTCCTGTCGTGACCTGTTTCTAACCCAGTGGGCAGGAAGATGCCATCTTCTGCAGAAAGGCCTGCCTGGGAAGCACAGGATCAGACTGTCACCACACAGATATGGTGACACCAGAAAGCGAGGCTGGTGACAGAGTCAGTCTTCCTTAAGGAGAATGTTAGTATTTAAAAGTAAAGCCCTAAATCACGTTCATTCTCTTTTCTTATCTAGACATGTAAGTGCTTACTTATTCCCATTCACTCTTGTCCATTCTCTTATTACACCACAGGCTAACGTCCTTCCCAGAGTGGAATCTCTCAATGGCTTCACGCTTAAGGGACATCTGAGTTGCCTCTACCTGTAAGGATCTTTTCCCCTTTCCTTTCTCTTTGGCCCTTGGTACCTTTACAGGGGGGAGCTTTCAATACAGGCAAGCTCTATTGTATAAACCTGTATCTAGACAGTCAGTGCATGTCTTAAATTTACCATATTTACTCTGTACTCCAGGGCCAGGAACAGAAGTAAGGTCATGAGTGACTGAGTGAATGGCTAACGAAGGTAATTTCTTCACTGGAAGAAGCTACAGTAGCTATGGAGTTCTTCTGGACCTCTGAAATCATACCAACTGACGTGGAGAAACACTGGGTGCTTGTGAAGCCAGCCAGAGCCAGCCGAGTCTCACAGCCTCCAGAGCTCCTGGGAACTCACCTGCACCATCTGCTTGGTTTCTGTTGGCTGTGGCTTTCATCATTTTCTCACTGAATAAAAGAAAAAGAAAAAAAAAGTCAGCTCTATAGTTTTCAAAGTGCCATGTCTTTCCTTGACCCTTCTAGTCTTAAGACTTAGCGGTGATGGATTAAGCAATGGAGGTGTTTGACATCAGCTTCATAACTGCCGGAGATGGAAAAGGTTTCCCAGGTGTGTGCTGACACAGGCAGATGCAGCTGGGCACGCAGTGATTTGCAGATGGTGGCAGATGTGGACACGTGAATGGTAGTAACAGCACTGCTCAGCAAGTGCTCCATGAAGCCACATGCACTGGGAAGCCCTCTGACCCTTCTTGGGCCAAAGTGTTACCTTTGTCCAAGAATTTCCAGGAGGAAAACAAAACCAAAAGGACAACCCCCACACCATGATTTATAAAGATGTAAATATGTCAGCCCTAAACTGATCATGAAGAAATGAATTTCACTGAATGAATGGCTGTAATGATTAAAGATAAGCAGGTTGAATTATTTTTCACTGCAAGGCTTTCTTCTTTTTACCTAGATGCCTCTTTGCTACTACTTGTAATGGGCCCTTTAAAAAGCGCAGACTGAACAAGGCCAGTTAGACTAGCAATCTGCTTCTCCATGGCTTGCATCCTCTCTCTGCAAAACAAGAGAATTGTTTGTTAAAGGTCTGTTGACTTTTAGACTGGTTCTTCAGGGTGAATGACCCACCTGAGGGTTATAAAAGGCACCATGCAGCAGGCTACCAAAATCTATTCCAACGCAGAGAACTATAGATCCTTGGCCGAGGCCAGAGTCATTGATAAGAGTTGAGAGATGAGACAGTGACCTCACAAAAAAGACAATGCACAGGTCAATCAGAGACCTCCACAAAATCAGCATCTCTCTCAGACGTTCAGGAAGCATCTGTTCTTCAGCCTTTTGGCCCTATTTTCTTGTTTACCTTGCATAAGAGGAGACCTCAGTGGACTGGTGCTACTGTGGTCCAGGACCTGCATCCCTACATGCCTCTAGGCTGCGCTTCGCAGCTGGGAAGCTGCAAGATGGTTTTGTTGTGAATGATGGAGATATTTATTGTATGTGTAGTTGTTACTGTTCCATAGCCCAAGGGCAGACAAACCAGTGCCTCTTGTCAATGCAAGAATACAGTTGAAATCAACATGAGTTTGGGGGATCATGCTCGGTCTAATGCTGGAGAACTCTTAGCCTGAAGGATTTTACAGGATCAAGGAAGAAAACTATGCTCAACAACTCAACCATGAGCACACTAATAAAAATGCCCCTAGTTTTTGCCTCTGGCCAGGTACTGTACCTTTCTCTTCAGGACTCTCTCATCACAGGACCATGTGACAGTGATTCCTATTCTACAGACAGCACATCTACAATGTGGCTTTTCAGTGCAAGACAACTGTTTGATCTGGTACCCTGTGGAGCTGGAATAGCAATCCATCCTTCACTGCAGAAAAGCAACTGGTGAGGTTGGGCTATGGACAGACACGACATCTTATCCTGAACTCTGTGGTAATCAAGAGTGTCCTCCAGCTTTGAGGCCTTGAGTCTTGCCTTTGGACTAAAATTTTTAATGCCTTATTAAATAATAAGTTTAATTTTGCAATTACCAGCTTCTGATTTGACAATTTTATGTACTCTCTTCAGTTTAAACTGATGGTGTGATTATGACATGAGGTTTCTTGTGTGTATGTCATACAGTGTAGTAGATAATGGTTGCAAAAAGCAAGCACCCCCACCAAGCGATAGAAGTCTGAATAGTCTGACCACTATTCTACTGTGTAGAATTAATCTCAAATGCCATTTATGGACACACATCTCCACATACTGACTGTAGATAGGTTTAGGCACAGCAGTGGATGCTAATCTCTGAACTGAACATTTTCAGGCACCTTTATGACTTGGACTCCTCTTTACCATAAAAGGGTCAATGGATCAAGGAAAATGCTAAGAAACATTTCAAATAAAGAAATAAGGTTTCTAAAAATCTGCCAGAAATCCCATGTTTATTGGTAAGTCACAGTGGCATCTCAGAAGTGACAAGGGTAATGGTTGATCACAGTGTCTGTCATATAGGAGACACAGTCACACACAAACACTTGGAAAGTGACTATCTTGGGGGAAAATGCCAGTAGTTGAGTGAAAGTTGGTTAGCCCTATTATTGCACAAAAGATCGGGAGAAGTGCAAGTAGAAGCAAGTGCCACTACAAGAATTAACCAAGAGTCTGCTAAGTAGGAAAAGGGCAGGAAGAAATCTCCACTCCGTAACACAGGCTATGGGTGCAATGCAGAACCGCTGGCATCACCACACTGGCTGCGGGTATGTTGCTGATCAGGGCTAAGTCAATTTTCTCTGTCTGTTGTTGATTAAAAACATTCCATTACCTTGTCTTACAAGGGGCGGGGGTGGCTGCACAGTAAAAATCAAGCCAAACACCCTGGACAGAGGACCTTATCTTTAACTGGATCATCACTGAGGACCGCATTACAGATTATCACAGCAGAGGCTGGGTTAGACCCATGAATGCCCACAGAGCTTCCTTGCTTTTCTGGGGTGGGAGCTAAGTGGGAGTCGGACTCCTCCACTAAGCTTTCCTCCTGATAACAGTTTTGGGGTGCAGATGAAGGAAGACAATTTTCAGTTGTACCCCACTGCCTGATTCTCCAAGGTGGATACCAACACAGTGTAGAACTGCCTGGAGTGAGAGTTTAGACAATTGGAGTTAGAGCCCGTGTGTAATCTAGATCCCCACATGTTTGGTTCTGTACACAGTAACCATGAGTTAGGGCATGAATATTTCTTCCATGGCCTCTTTCAGGCTGTGGCACCAACAGGACCACTAGGGGAGGACACTAAGTCTGTTGCTTATAGACACTTAAACCTGACAGCACAAGGGCCACAATTCTCTCCCCCTTCCATGTGGGGTCAGCACACTGAGCACAAATGTATGTGTCGATATCTCAGTCAGAACCACTTCCTGAAAATACAATTCTTTTGACACATGGTAATGAGAAAACTTTTTCTTCCCTATTTAATCATCAGAGTGTTTCTGGTTTCAGGATTCATTTGAGGGAGATTATCTGATTTATAAATTCATAAATAAGATTGTCTTTCCATTTCATGGTTGGTAATCTGGAAACAATTTTATGGTTTAACTAAATTACAGCAACTGGAAACTTATGCAGCCTTTCCCCGCAGTGAAATGTTATGAAGTGTGTTTAATGTGAAGAGGGAAAAAATAAAAGGAATGCAGTGGAAGACGGGAAATTAAACACAACCCTGTCATCTTACTGCAGTGGCAATTCTGCATGATAACCATTAGAATATTAGGGACGCTAGGGGTAATTCTGGCCAATTTCATTTGGTTTAAAGTATTATGGGTTGGTGTAATTACTGTCAAAAAGATGGTTCAAAAATGATTTCATAAACCATTTTATAACATTCTATAAACCTTATTAATATGATGAGTAGGGACGGTTAACTAGTCACTTAGTGTTGTAAGTCAGCTTGGCTGCACAAATCTTTTTGAGGCCCAAATACAGCATGAATCAAGAATATAAGGAAAATTCGCTAAAACTATTGCTCCATCATCAATCAGCCCCTGATTTCACTGGCATCCCTCCCTGCCCTGGTCAGTGTGTACAGGGCAAACAATGCCATACTGTTGGAGGGCCACCCTCTCTGTCTTTGGAGCAGAGGGAAAAAAAAAAAAAAACTTTGATGTTTGAGGAGACATTTTTAGCCAGTGAGTTCCTTTATATGATTTTTGATTCAAGTTTCACCTCTTTTGATTATGGACTTGTCTTTGTTCTGAAGGAAGCCTCCTTGAGCCTGGATTAATTTCATGTCTTTGTCTAGTTAAGCAAATTTGTACCAATTAAGAATAAAGTGGAGACCATTAATTCTTCATGATGGATCCCAAAGGACATGTGCCTGCGCATGTGTGTGATGCATACGGAAGCCGCAGGGCGATGCTGAGCATCTTCCAGAGTCACTTTCCACCTTATTTTTTGGGTTTCCCAATGACCTAGGAGCTCATTAATTCAGTTAGGCTGGCCAATGAGCTTCAAGGACCCACCAGTCTCCATATCGCAGTGATAGGGTTACAGATGTGGCAGATAAGCTGAGACATCTCCCCAGTGCTCAAAGACTATGTCTTCAAAGATATGAGCAAGATACAGAAGAGCTCACTGAAACCTGTGAAGCAAACTAAAATGCATCAGAAACTCAGCCCGCCTTAGCCAGTTCCCCATCATTAAAAAAGCTGCATAAGGCAGTAGCAACTGCAGGAACCGGGACACTGTTTGATCCATAAATTCACTTCTGGTTCTAATCTTTTATAGTTTGTTTCAATTCCTATTTGCTATCATTGGCATCTATGCTTATCTGCTAAAAGCTTGGTTCCCAGCCAGCGGCATTGCTGGAATCAACTGGGGCCGAGCAGAAGACAGCCATGATTGAGATGCTGGGCTCCTCACTCCTCTCCCTGTGCCCTGTCTGCCAGGAGGTAAGCAGCTCCACTTTGCAGAAGTGCTCCATGCTGTTGGACTACAAGCCCTGCACAATGGGCCCAAACAATTGCAGACTGAAGTCATGACCCAAAACGAGTCACTCTGATTTTTAAGTTGCTTAACTCAGGAATTTAGTTACAGCAATGGAAATCCAAACAACAGTCTGGACAAAACATACACACACACCTCACCAAGAAAGTGAGGTCAATGAACATCGATTGTGAAGATGACTAACACAGGCAGGAGCATAGTTTCTGCATTGGGCCTTCCACAAGATCAGTGTCCCCACGGGGAGAACGCTGCTGACAGAATTAAACCTTCTAGTCTTAGAAGTACTGAGGGCATTTTTCACAATTGGATAGTGACCAGGTTTCGAGCCCTTGCATGTTCATACCCTGTTTCTATGGCATGAGTGGAAAACATGCCCTAACGAATTAAAGATGCTGTTTTGGGATGAGGTCAACAGAACATCAGAATCCTCTGTGCTATGTTGAAGCCCTGCAGGCAACTAATCAATGAGTTTTCCATTTCTGCCCTAAAGTTACCCTATTTGGGGCAAGCTAAGCAACTAAGACACCATTCCTGAATCCCTGAATAACCTTGACTTCTCACTGGGGCATCTGTGCTCCTGTGGGGATATGGATGGAGCTGGCAGCTGGAATTTTTTTTCCACCTGCCTTCTGAAATGAGCAAGAAGGCTAGGCATGCTTTGTTCCCCCACTGTGGCTTCAGCCATCTCAATGCATCCCTACTTCTGAATTTAGAATTATTTGGGAGGACCTGGGAGGGTCCTGGTGAAGGGGCAACCATAATTAGAATATATTGTGTGAAACAAATTTATTTTCAATTAAAAAAAGAAATAGATGATAAAAAGGGGGAAAAAAGAATTACTTTACAATGGGTGGTGGTGGTGCGTGCCTTTAATTCCAGCACATGAGAGACAGAGGCAGGTGGAGCTCTGAGTTTGAGGCCAGCCTGGTCTGCAGAATGAGTTCCAGGATGGTCAGGCTATGCAGAGAAACCCTGTTAGAAAAAATTATCTTAAGTTGCTTTCCAAAATCTGGAACCCCTCATATTTGTGGACATTTGAGCATGGGACATGAACTTTCCGGAACAT